AACCAAATGTGAGTCAGTTTGAAAAAATATGATACTTCTTTTCTTTTAAAGAGGAATGTCTGAAGAACAGATAATGTTGAAACTAGAAATGTATCTTGTTCCATTCTATCCAAACAACTGCACTGAACATACCTGAGTGCCACAAGTATTCTTTTTCCAAAGTTTGTGTGGCTATAACTCAAGAAGTATTAAAGATATCGCAATATGATTTTAGATTCTAGTTCTTAATAAACTTCTTTTGGAATCTTCATTTTCAAGGCCCTACATCATTCAGTCCCAGAGATACGGGGGTCTCGATGAGGCATCAACACAACATCAGTGCAGCATCACGATGCGTGATTGAGATCTAAAAATACAGCACTTGTGTCCCCTCAACCCGTTTCCGCCGTCTGTCCCGTATCAAAACTTCCCCAAATAGAAACGCCGCTGCGCTTTCGGGGACGTCCTGAGGGTGCTGAAGTTTGGAGAGTTAATCCAATAGATCAAACCAAACTAATTCCCATCGTGCAAAAGGAAACAGAGGAACATTCATCCAGCTTGAAATTTCTAGGCCACCATGTCCAGTGTTGACTAAACCTCTGGCTCCGGATCCAGCTGCGTGTTTACAAAGAACCAGGCTCCATATGCAGGAAAAGTCCCTCTCCTCTCCGATCAGATCAGATGCTGTCCAGATTATTTTATAATGTTACCAATATTTTCCCATAAACTGGTGCTGTGTTGATCCCAGTAACTGGTCTTGATTAAAGCCTCAAGATGAGGCCAACTTTGGATCGACGTACAAAGCTGTCAAATATTATCCTTACATTATAATAATTGCCTCTGCTTGATGTTTACTAATCACAATGTATTATCATCCACTTTATTTAGCAACGCGGAAGTAAGCTTCCGCTTTATTAGCCGCTAAAGGTAAATAACTGAATAAAAGTGCAGTAAACGGTAAAATTATTTATGCTACAAACCAGCATAGTTTTCATTATTATAATTAGTTTAAATATTATCCCAGTTTGCAATATGAAACAGCATAATGGGTTGTTTTTATACAGGTAAAATACCGGAAGCGAATGACAACGGAAGCTTCGCACATTCAAGTTACAAATGCTCCTACGCTAAAAATACGGTTGATAGCTGAATATTATTGCAATATGGAGATTAGTTTTTCAAACTCTTCTCTGTCTGATAGCAATACTTCCCGTTTCTAACATTAAAACATGCATGCTGTCAATGTTTTGTGGAAAGCGCTATACAAATAAAGTAATTAAAAATAACACATGTAGCTTCGTATATTTTCATACTGTGTGTCAAGGCTACAATCAAAATTCATTTATTCATGCTTGAGCTTTGGCTATCGAAAATGTAATGCATCATTAAAGTAGTTCATGTGACTCTTGCACTATATTTCATATTGATTTCATAAGCTATTTGATGTTAGATTTAAAAAAAAATTTTAGGAACAGATTGAACATATTTACTGTTAGTCATCCTCTCCATCATAAAACACATTAAGTTGCAGTCTTAAGTTACGACAGGTCTGACTGTGACATCAGTGATTGTCATGTGAATGATTGCAACACGTCGGGATTCTTTTGAACTTTCTATTCATCAAAGAATGGGGAAGAAAAAAAAAACCAAACATCAAATAGCTAATGAAATCAATATCTTCCAAAAACATTCGGTAGCACAACTGTTTTCAAAATTGATAATAACCAGAAATGTTTCTTGTGCGGCAAATCAGCATATTAGAATGATTTCTGAAGGAGCATTCAATTCAAGTTTATTTGTATAGTGCTTTTCACGATACAAATCACTGCAAAGCAGCTTTATAGAAAATGAAAGTTTTACATTATATTTAGAAGTAGCTTATTAGTGGTGACTATGTCAAGTTGATGTCCATATCATGCAGTTAGTTAATGACATGTAATCAAACAGACGGTGAACACTATTAACAGCATGTGATCATGTGACACTGAAGACTGAAATAATGATCCTGAAAATTCTGCTTTGATGACAGGAATAAATCACATTTTAAACTATTTTAAATTGTAATATTTCATAATATTAAAGGTTTTACTGTATTTTTTCATCAAAGAACTTGCCTTGGTGAATATAAGAGGCTTCTTTTAAAAACATAAATCTTGTGACCCGAACTGTGTAAATATAGTAGTGTAATTACATGATTGCATGTTATACAATACAGTTAAAATGTAAATATAATAACACACTGCAGATTTAGAAAACTGTCTCACATCAGTCAGACATGATCATATCTGAAGGCTGCAGAGATTTATATGAAGTAAAGCGAGGAGGTGATAAAAGTCAGCAAAGTGAGACGCTCTCGGTTCTGTCAGCGAGCTGCAATTGCTGTAATTTCAGTTCCTGAAGGACCTCCAGGTGTGTGTTTGTGTGAGTCCTGTCATCATCACGGCAGCAGGAACACAGTGAGTGAATGTGAATCCAGGACCTCTGTGTGAACTTGTTCTGCTGCACTTCTGAGGGGCAAATGTCTAATGCCATCACACACTCCAGCGTTCATGTACTGTATGTGTGTCCTTGCATCTCACGTGAATAACCGCACATGCATACTGCTAATAATGCGTGCCGATGTGAGAATGTGCAATAAAAGTGTAGCTTGTAAAGAGCTCAGGGCTGTTTTACTACACCAGAAGTTTATGTTGTAATGTAACGCCAGCAGGCAAAAGCAACTGTAACCTCAGCACTGCAAGCCTTGGCACATTCAAACACTGTCTCGTCTCAGTCTGAAAACATCTATATATCATTTGAAAGCTATAGCTCGGGTATCATCATTATGAACCACTTTAGACTCTTAAAATAAAGCTTCTTTATTAGCATCTGCTTCCATGATGAACCTGTAATCTTTATGACATCTTTCCCTTCCACAAAAGATTCTTTATAGTGGAAAAAAGTTCTTTTAAAACTTTTTAAATGTTCTTCATACTAAGAAAATTATTTATACCTGAAATTATAACGCAAAGATGTTGCACTGCAATAAAAACATGCACCCATAAACCTTTCTATAATATGGGAAAAACATGTAATTGTAACTTATCATCTAACAATTTGGAATTGGTTTCTTGCAAATCTGAGAAAAAACTCAGAATTGCAAGATATAAACAGAATTCATACTTTTTTTCTTGTAATTCCGAGTTTGCATCTTGCGATTCAGATTTTTTTCCCCTCAGAAATCTGAATTTACATTTCTCAATTCTGACTTTTTTTCACTCAGAATTTCAAGCTTACATCTCATATATTTTTCCCCACCATGAAATAAAAAATAAAGGTAACTGTGACACTATCTCACGATTCAGACTTTTCTCACAAATGTGAGTTTACATCCCACAATTTACACTTTTCTTCTCAGAATTGCAGGTTTACATCTTACAAGTTTGTATCTTGTTGTTAGTCTTATATTTAGCTGTTTTCTTCTCAGAATTGCAAGAAAAAAACAATTTGCTATTTTTATTTATTCTGTGGTGGAAACAGGCATCTGTAATAAAACCCAAGACTCTGATATTGCAAATGCAAATGTTTGTTTGTAGTTTGGGAATGTGTTCTTCAGGTCAGAGAGCAGCACTAATGCATCAGTTGCACAAAGTCTCTTTAATAAAAATGCAGTTGATTTATTTATCATGTTCTGATTCAGCATATTTACAGTTCAATAACAACTTTTTACACATGCAGCATGAGATTTCAACGGTCTATAATAAATAACATTCATTCTATAGAGATGAAACGCTCAGATATTATGTACAACAGAAAATGTCAGCATGCTGGTGTTCTCAAAACACTACACAATCAGATCAAACCCGTCTGCATCAGAGATTCCCATCACCCCGGCTGTGTTCAGAGCAGCATACTTCTTCTGCATTACATAGACACAGTATAACCTTCCCAAAATGAGCAGCACAACGCTGTGTGCAACGCTGCATCCCACAATGCAATGCATCGGCTTGACCTTTCAATTCCAGTGCGATCATCTTGACTCTATGTGATCAGACAGCTAAACGCTAAGACATTTTAAACAAAACATGGACTTATTATGTAAAACAACCATATTTTTCAAAGACTGACAGATGCCACACACTGAATTAAACATGCAAAGTGACAAGGTCATGTGACAAACGTAGCCCACTGCTGCTGGAAGTATTGAGTATGCTATATTCCACTCTGTACAGAAGCGCTGTGATTCACAGTAAACATCAGCATGTGCCCTACAGAGCGCAACAGCAGTAAAGATCCCATTCACTTTCTCCATAGGGAACTGATTTTTAATCATAACTTATAAACCTTTAAAGACAGATCTACTGTAAATCTACAAGGTTGTTAATTAATGCAGTACATTTTTCTGAAGCATAATTCCAACTTTTTTTTAAAATGATCGTTTAACAGCAGAATTCCTGGTGAAAAACGACATTACCCACAATTCTACAGAGAATGGCATCAAGCAAACTTGCTATTTGCTAATAAAAGAACATTTTCATACCCATATATTAAACGTATATTGCTTATTTATACATGTTTTATTAAACTAACACTTTTAATAACTAGCCTATGGCCAGTGACGTGCGAGATTTTACCAGCCATAAATATTTCTTTCCGGCCATGAAACTCTATGTGCATTATATTTCATTAAAAAAGGGAAAAACAAAGAATTTCATAATAAATTTGTATAATAATAACAACTTAAAAAAGGCAAAACAAAAAAAGGTAAAGAATTTATATAAAAAATTATTTTTTCTTCTTTGCTTTTAAACATTACTTGCCTTTATTTTGGCGGAAGTTCACAGATTTATATACTATTTTATATCAAAATTACATATTTATATTATTACACCGCAGTCTTTGCGATTAGTTAATTATGCTAAATCATAATCACATTCCCAGGCATTGTTAGAGTTAGAGAAAAATGTAATTGAAATGTAGAAAAACAAATGTTTCTATTTTATTTTATTTTTTATTTTATTATTATTATTATTTTGCTTCAAAGATGTTTTAAAATCCCTATGGGAAAAACTGAATGGGAAAAATACTTCCAGAACTGTTCCACTCCATTATGACCTCACTGTGTGGGCGGAGCTTCCCAAGCGGTTTCATTGATTCTCGTTTTATCGTGGGTCTAAAACAGCACATCCTTCATCAAAGGCACGTCTAGTTTGCTGATTAACTTGAGACAACGTTGATCAAGTCAAATAACCAGCATCACACCTCATAAATCTCTTTCTTGCCATTTAAACACACATATACACACACACACAGGTTCATGAATGCAAAACCCCTTAGTTTCGTGAATTCTGATGCATTCTGGGAACACAAATGTAAATGTACTCATATATCAGCGCACTTCCAAACGCTTGAGGCTGAATATATATGTTTATGCATCCGGCATGTGTGGCATTCAATCTGCTTGTGTTTATATATATATATATATATATATATATATATATGAAATGTGTATGTGGCCAAGTCCTGCAGGATTATATTTCCTCAAGTCCATATACAGTATGTGTATGTGTGTGTTTATTCCCTCCAGTTGGTCCCGTAACCACGCTCAACACCTGCATCTGTGTTCTCCGTCACACACACACACACACACACACGCGTTTACACAGCTACCTCCTTTTCCTCAGACTGCTCTCCAAGCGGCCGAGCTCCTCGTATCCCTGGTAGAAGAGCTCGAGCTCGCGGCCTCCCCAGCTCCTCCAGACAGCCAGGCACCAGGCCATGTTTTCTTTACGGAAGCCGCACACAACGGTGTCCTTTGCGACAAGCGCCGCCTCCGCCAGAGTCCTGAGAGACGGACGAGAGGAAGAAAATAACCTGGACTCTTCGCAGAACTGTCATAGAGGAGCAGTTACAGGCCTGAAAGCCTCGACTGTGTGATGAATGTGTGTTTAAGCTGAGAGCCGGCGCGGACAGAGACCAGTTTATGATCAACATTTCAGAACAACGCTAACTTAAACTGAAGCTCCCTCTGAAAACCTGCACAAACACACTAATAAAGCTGGCAGCCATTCGCATTTTCTTCAGAAAGGTTGTGATTATTAAGGCTAATTGAATTATTTATGAAACGCCGGTGTGTTTTATCATTCTGGCTGCTTCTCGATACTGTAACTGATGATTCCCTTGTTTTCTCACTCCTCCGTCCTTCAGCCTGTGGCCTGGAAAGCGATCAGACACAGTCATGATGAAGGACGTATCAATTCTCTAAATGAACCGTGAGAAGATGAGGAACAGGGAGAATGCAGAACTCCAGAGGAGATCTATACCTGACACATGCATGCATGCTCCTGCCTCTTTACATCTATTACAATAGTGGGACAGGTTTTACCTGTACAGCTGAAATAAAACAAATATTACAAAAATAAAGATTTCATGTACTGCAGGTCCAATTTTTATACAGTTAAAAATAAATAAAAAATGTAAAATAAATAAACCATAATAAATTATTTAAATGAAAGAAAATAACACTGAAATATAAATAAATAAGCTAGATCAAATCAATTTAATAAACAAACAAAGAAATGACTGTGTAGCTGGTGAAATTTCTGGTCGATGCAATTACAAAATTCTAATAAATCATATTTATTTATATATATATATATATATATATATATACATGCTGTCCGCTAAGGCGTAGGACACACACAGGCCTTTCCTCCTCACCAACGAAATTAACACTGTATCTACACCGGACGCAAGCGGCAAAATACAGTAGAACCCATTATAATCAGTGACTCCCTACTTCAGTCTGTGTGCACTGAACTTATTTAATACACGAGTTTCACAATTTGAGTTGAATTACTGAAATAAATTAACTTTTCCACGACATTCTAATTTATTGAGATGCACCTGTATGTGTGTGTGTGTACATATATATAATATTTAGTTAATAAAAAAATATAAATATATAGGGTAGTTTAAAAGCAGTTACAAAAACATTAAATTTAAAAATAAATAAAAAGATTTTGTATGTATAGCTAGTGAAAGTTTTGATCGATAAAAAATAACAAAAATTAAAAATATAAAAAATTTAAATATTTCATATATAACTAGTTTAAAGTAATGTTAAAATCAAAATAAATAAATAAATCATAAATAAATATTATATATTTAATATATATTAACAATATATATGATAATATTATTTTTTTTTTAATTAAATTGTTTTATAAACTTTAAAATAAATAAACTCTTTAAAAAAGTAAACAAATATATAAACAAGGCGACATGGACGCTCAGACAAAAATCAAAATGCACAAGAAATCTGTGTGTCCTGAGGAATCAGTGCAATTAATTTGACCCAGATGAGAGCTTTAGGCTTTGCGTTTGTAAAGGACTTTCACGAGGGTTTTTAATGTGTTCATGTGAAGCTGCTGGGCTCTTATGGGACACATGTCTGCTGTGTGTGCATGAAATCTATCACGTTTATGAAGAACTGAATTACAACTGCTCATTTTGGCCATCTTTTTTTCATGCAGATGATTTAATCCGTTTTTAATCCATTTAATCAGTTGCACTACTATATTTTGGTGCAAATGCAAGCAGCTTTAAATATTATTAAGGTTTGATTGGCTTTCGTCTAGCAGAAAGAGTGCTTTGAGGGGTTTTCTCCTCAAAAATCAATGCAGAAGTGGTCTGCAGAATCTGTCTGGGCTTGTTTGTGGCAGCAGAGCGCTACATCCATCACTGATTTCGGTTTGCTACAGGCGATTGGTGTCACGAACAGTGTGGAATCGTGTGTGGTTATTAATGTGTGACTGGCCGCTGACACACGTACCCGCACTCGGACACTCCAGGCGGCGTCAACACGGCGATCACACGACCCCTGAGCGCACCCGCCTGCTCCTGCACCTCGATCACCATGATGTCTCCTCCACACCTGCCAAACACACACTCTCATTATACAAAAGCAATAAGCCCCAAGAAGCCGTGGTTTACAGTGAATTTATAACAGCTAAGGGGCGTTGTTAGGCATGACGCGAAGCTGTTATAAATTCACTGTAAACCACGGCTTCACGGGGCTTATTGCGTTTATAAAATGGTTATTCTATATACGTAGTAAGGTTTCACAAAATAAAACAGAGCAAATAAAGTGTAATGATATGAATAAAAAGAGTATTCTTCCACCAAACAATGTAGTTCCTCAGAAACGGTTGTGGTTGCAACAAAGTGGTTGCCGAGCAACACACAGACGTAAACAAAGGTGTATGTTTGTTGAGTAATTTACAACAGCTTCGAACTTGGCTCAACCAATCAGAATCAAGGACAGGAACTCTCTGTTTTATAAACTTCACTATCACACAAAATTAACAGAAATAAAAAACTCATTCATAGCTAGCTAGTTTAAAAGTAAATGTTAAAGATTAAAATAAAATAAAGTAAAATGAAATGAAATTACAAAATAATGTTGACAATGTAATATTAAAAATGAAAATAAATAATCCATGTATTTAGAAATAGATTAAAAAGATTATATAAATAGTAATTTTTTTGTTCAACACAATATAAAAAGTAACGTTAATTTAAATAAATGAACCACTAAAAAACTATTTATGGCTAGTTTAAAACAAATAAAAAAAAAAACTAAAAAAACTAAATTTCATACAGATAGTCTTACATTTTTTGTTGACAGTATAATATTACAAATTAAAATAAATAAACCATGTATTTAAAAGTCAATTTTATGTTCCTCACAATTAAATCAAACTTAAATAAAAAAATAAAGAAATTATATAAAACTAGTCAAATAAATAAATAAAGTTAAAAAACTATGCATTTAAAAACAGATTAAGCATATTAAGTGTATTAGTAATTTTTTGTTCAACACAATATAAAAAGTAATGTTACCAATGTAAATAAATAAACCACTAAAAATATATACATATTTTAACATTTTATTATTTAGTGAAATTAAAATAAAGCTTAAATAAAAAAAAACAAATAAAATAAGTAAACAAACCTTAAAAGTAAATAAATAAACATTAAAGGGGTCATATGATGTGATTTCAAGTTTTCCTTTCTCTTTGAAGTGTGCGTTCAAAATTTTAGGAGCACCTTCTAATCAATAATCCAAATTTTTATCAAAAAGTAGCCTTCCCATTACGAGGTGATATTTGACTCCTCTAACTTTATTAAAAGTATGTCATCTTTTGTCAAATTCTTTAAAAAATTATATTTTATAAGCTTTTTAAAAATTGTAATTAAAATGACAGAATAAGAGTAGAATAAGAAACATAAGTTAAAAATCAAACGAAATCAGTATTAA